TGCTGAAGGAGGTTGTGGGGGGCAGAAGAGAAGGAAAAGCAGCAACAGCCATTTTACAGTTTCTCCATGTTTCTATTCCAGGCCAAAAAACCCAGCCTCCCCACTTAAGACATGCGCACCAATTCTGGACTGATTTTTGGGGAAAGGGTGCATGTGGTATGTTTAGAAATATGGTAATTTGGTATGTATGGTAATTAGAAACTGAAGGCAACTATTAAGCTATACAAAATAAGGCATTTTACAAAAGTCTACTTAAAGCCTTCTACAGCGATAAAAGAAATCTTGGAGCTCTTCCCAGTTATGCCAGGAAAATAGAAGACTTAGCATATGATATCATATATTCTGCAGTTTTCAAACTGCCTTATAGGCACAAGCTGTATTAGACAGAGTGTAGAAAGCCCTATGCACTTACATAAATTAGAAGAGAGAAGAAGGGGGACAGTGATCATCAGTGATACAGATTGCTCCAGGATACTTCCAGTAATTAGAACTGACCCTGCACAAGGTTAGGGGCATTCTATATCCAACACATCTGAAACTCTTATCATGATACTCTCCAAAATCCCCATGAAGAATCTCAATTCAAAAACAATTCCACACTTCTTGTAACAGCATGGCCCACCACAGCTTATTTTATAGGTTTTGTTTCATTGTAATATGTATTTTTGCAAACAGTATCGCATTAGATGATGTTTGATCTTTGATTGATTCATTTTGTGAAAAGTAAAAGCAACTTTCTTATAGAATGCTCATGAGTAAAGGATCCAAGAACAGATTATATAAAAGTACACAGTTGGATACCAGGAACATTTTACAATAGAGGCCCAGAAACTATAAAGCCCTTAATTCTGATATAGCTACATGGTTTGCTTATGAAACTTAGAGTAGGAAAAAAGGCAGAGTGAGTTAATTAGGTCTGCCTTTGTTGTCTTTTGAATTTAAAATAGTCCCCAAAATACTTCAGCAGTAAGAAAAAACAAATAATTCTAGTGTTCAATACCTACATTTATCTCACATATTAAATAAGTAAAAAAAAGAAGTTCAGTTTACTTTTAAAGGTTAAAAGTTTATAAATGCATAAATTGTCTGTTATTGTGAGAGTGAACAGCAGAAGAAATGCAGTATGATCTGGACTGAAAATAAACTAATAGATATTTCAAATTTGACTAAAACAGAAACTAAAGCTATTTATAACTTTTCAGCCAAGAGGGATTTTGTAAAAAGAAAGAAACTACCTAAAAAGTAGAAAGGGAGAAATAAATTACTTTTTTCTTAGATCATTTCTGAAGGCCTGCTCACAAACAATAAATGTTTGAAAATGAATGGAGAAAAGGGAATACGGAATTAAAAATCCTCTTAGTCCATTTACTGTTTTATACACAAACTTCTTTATATTCCTCAATGAACAAAGTCTAAAACCTGCTCAGTGAAGACTACCTTGTATTGGTGACAGTTGTCCAACTGATACATGATGGAAATGCAATCTGTGATTCCATAGTCCCAGTTGAATTTTGCACTTGGAGCAGAAATTGAACTACTTTGCTATATAGGAAAATACAGCACAGTTCTTTCAGTACTCAGTACTTATGCTTTAGTTATAACATAAATTTTCTGAGAATCTACAAACAAGTTTATGAAGTTAAAATTTTTAAATAGTTTGTTGAAAATTTTTTCCCCCATGTCAATTTTTGGTGATTCCACCCTGAAGCAATTCTATGAAGAAAAATGGTAAAAGGCTAACATGGCATTAAAGATCAATTTAATCCAATCTAGAATGATAAACACTAGTATGTGTTAATTTAACTGCAAATGGTTAGATTAGTTACACCTGGTCACTTCCCCTCACAGTTAGTATTGTGGACATAGCTAAAGGATAATGTACTCTCATCTGCTAGTCAACGTTCCTCCTTAGGGTACGGGCACATGTTCATTTTTAGTGTTACAGGGGCTGTTTTGTACAGGGGCTATACTGTTTTATAGGCCCCCCTGACAGGAGTGCTACAAAATCACATCAAGAATGCTCTCCAGCTAGAGGGCAATAAGGAACTGCTTCTTTGCTTCCCCCCACCCCCTTGAAAGACTGTTAAAGAGGCAGCACATCAATGCTCTTGTGGGAAGGGTGGTGGCATCAGAGTATTTGCCTAGAGATGCATACACAATGGAAATCCATTATGTTGGCATTTTCAGATACTGACATGACAAAATGTACTTTTTGTTGCTTTTGGGGAAGTCTGGAAGTATGATGAGGATACCAGCTTTCCCTATTTCAAAATTTTCTACCTACTAAAGAGTATTTCAGAAATGTTTTTGGAGTCCCATAGAAATGCTGTAGCAGTATCATGTTTTATTTCCCAATAAGAGTGATCCGTATGACAATATTATTAGTCAGCTGTTATAAGTAGCTCTTTGCATGGCTTTCCAATGGTCAGAAAGAAGCTCCCACCCTTACCGCATGACTGTACACGGATCATTTACAACAGTTAGCCTAGCTTTACCAAAAGGTATAGTGACTGCACACCAGGCAGGAACTGGGGCCATGACTTACTTACCTTACCCATTTTCCTGGTTAACCTTGGGAAGGAGTAGAGCAAGCACTGAGGGGAATAATATGCTCCATCCTAAAGGATGTAGAAGATTGTGATGCATACTTGCACAAGGGACTCCTCTTACACAGATCTGCAGCTTACAAGCCACAGTCAAACAGCCTGTGAAGAATCAATCTCTGCTGGGATTTGAACTAGACAAACTATCTTCAAAAGCACTTTCTGTCCAAGGTACGCTCTTGAATAGCCATGGCCATGACCAGAAACAGCAGAGGTTTCCTCCAGGTTTGTGTTAAATATGGATTTAAGAGCCACAACTAGGCAAGATGCTAAAGTTGAGAAACAAAACTTCAGTCAAAAATACTGTAAATTTTTCAGAGGCAAAATTAAAAAAAACACACAAAACTAAGAAGTAAACGTAAATGCACAAACTAATATGAAAAATACTACATTTAGAATAGAACAATCAAATGAACAAACACAAAATAGAGAACTGACTAGGCTGCAATATGGAGAAAAGGACCTAGGAATTACAGTGAACTACAAGATGAACATAAGTCAAAACTATAATGTTGATGCAAAATAAGCAAATAGCATAATAGAATGTATTAACAGGAGTGTTGTGTGCAAGTTATGAAAACATTTGTCTAGGATGGTTTTGACAGGGATGATCTTGTTCTGAGCAAGGACAGACGAACTCCTGAGGTTCATCCACCAACAAAGATCTGTCTTCTGCAGCAGCTAGGGTTTAAACTTCAGTTAAGCAGAAAATCAGACTTGTCCCTGCTCTATAACTACATAACTCTGGAAAAAATCTTTTTTTCTTCATTCTCCCTTTCAAAAACAAGGTGTATATAATATTCAGGGGCATTCTGCTTGCAAGAAAATACAGTATGTTTTGTAACTGATGATGCTATCTTCTACGGTTTGTAAATGGAATGAATGACACTGAAAAAAAGAAGTGCAGCTAACTAGGTTCTACTGATAATCTACTAACCTATTACAACCTTTTCAGAAATAATTCTGGAGACAGTGCATTAAAAATATTTTAATATAAATACATTACAAAACAACATTTCAAAAATGCTTATAATGCAAATGAAATGTTAATACTAGCAATATTTTTATTGCTGAAATCTGTTATTTTTTACTTCTGTTTTGATTAATTTATCCTACTTCTCTCCATGTACAAAGAGTCTGTCATGAGCAATCCATGGGCTGGTCAGTAAAGATCTGTTTACTTAATCGTCTTTTATAGCTTCTACTGGCATAGTAGCCAAGAACTGAGGATAATAATGACAACTGGTATAAATATCCATTTCTTTCCCCCTATTAGCCAGGCCATTTCAACATCAGTGAAATCCCTTGTCAAGTAAATTTATCTTAAAAATTCTTTGCTAAAAGTTCATAAATTGTATAAAGAAGTTTCATTGTTCGGAGTTGAGGAGAACACCAAACCTTTTAGAAATTCCAACAAATTTGTGTTTTTTCAGCTGTATATGCCAATGTCTATGCTATTCCATCAAGTTTTTTGGCTTACCTTTTTCTGCAATAGGTCATTAAAGTGATTCTTAAGAGGGAAAGACAAAGATTTCATCCTTAGGCCCCAATGCTGCAAACATTATCCATGTGCTTAATTTTACTACCAAGTGGTACTTTTTACAGTAAGGTTAAGCACCTGTGTACGTTTACTAAATCAAGGCCGTCAAGAGCCAACCAGTTCTTGACCAACTAAAAGCACTGTGTACCTAATGAATTATACATAGTGAGCTCTGTCAGGAACAGGCTGCATCTCCCTTTGTATTTGTATAATACTGAGTACATTGACAGTGCTTAGCAAAAAAACAATTTATGGGTTTTTATTTTCAGGTCCTTCCTATAATTACGGGTACAGATTAAAGACTTTTGTTGTCACTAATCAGAAGGGCGTGGACTGGAATGCATTTTGCACCAGGTGCTCAGAGGCCTCTAACTTCGTATCTATCTTTTCACTACGCAGTTGTATGCTGGCAGCAAAATCAAAGGCAAAGTTGAAGCTTTTTATGAAAATCAAGGCTTCTATGTACAGAAACTGTATGCTGATTATATAAATTTGGCAGATAAACCTTTCTTTGATTTATTCAGAATATTCTAAAAAATGTGCCGTCTGCACGAATAAATGGTTGCACAACCCTAAGAGAAATTTAAGAGAAAAGGGCAGGCTACTACTGTATTTCTTGAAACTAAACTGATTTACTGATCCTCTATGCATATAAGGCACATCATTATACTAGGTACCCTCTAATCAAAAGTAAATGTTTCCTCTTAATAATTTGACTCAAAGGCAATTAACACTACACTGCTATAACACATTATTCATGCCAAAATCCTAAAATTTCAATTTAGCATATGGCAGAACAATGTTTTCTCTTCACAGATCACTTTCTGCATCTTTACTAGTGCCATGCACTGAAAAGACATGATAAAACAACAACTCAAAATGTGGTTTGGTCCAATAAAGGTCAACAAAACTTAGTACTTCCTGCAGGTCTTCAAGAAACTGGCACTTAAAGTATTTAATACATTTAAATACGTGACTATATTAAAAAAAACTTTTAGAAAAATATGATAAAAAATACCATAGTGTAACCCTACAGCTTCCTAGTGAATTTGTTTAAATATATCTCTAGAGGCTTCTACTACTTTAGTGTCAAATAATGAGGTAGCACATTGTTCCAAAACTGTTGTGAATCTTGTAATCCATTCACCAAGTGATGTTTCGACTTTACTTTCTGTTTAGTATTTCGTACAGCACTTTCTTTCTTCTCCTCCTTTCTGTTACTTTTACTTTGCCTTTGCTGAGGCTTATTTTCTTTTATTTTTTTTCCAGCTTTCTTCCTTTCCTTCTCCTTTCTTTCATCACCTTCCTCTTCCCCCTCTTCATGTTCCCCTTCTGACTCCTCTTTCCCTTCATTTTTTCCCTCTTCCTCCCCCTCTTCCCCTTCATCTTCCCTGTCTTCTTCCCCTTCCCCCTCTTCATCCCTGTCTTCCTCCCCTTCTCCCTCTTCATCTTCCTCCCCTTCGCCCTCTTCATCTTCCCCATCTTCCTCCCCTTTGCCCTCTTCATCTTCCTCATCTTCCTCCCCTTCGCCCTCTTCATCTTCCCCATCTTCCTCCCCTTCCACATCATCTTCCCCATCTTCCTCTTCATCTTCCCCCTCTTCATCTTCCCCGTCTTCCTCCCCTTCCCCCTCTTCATCTTCCCCGCCTCCCTCCCCTTCCCCCTCTTCATCTTCCCCGTCTTCCTCCCCTTCCCCCTCTTCATCTTCCCTGTCTTCCTCCCCTTCCCCCTCTTCATCTTCCCCATCTTCCTCCCCTTCCCTCTCTTCATCTTCCCCATCTTCCTCCTCTCCATCTTCCACCTCTTCCCCATCTTCATTTTCCCTATCTTCCTCCCCTTCCCCGTGTTCCTCCCCTTCCTCTTCCTGCTCTTCCTCCTCTTTCCCTTCCTCTTCCCCCTCCTCTTTTCCTTCCTCTTCTTCACCTCTTCCCTCTTCTTCCCCTTCGCCTTCTCCCTCCTCTTCCCGTTCATCCTCCCCTTGTTCCCCCTCTTCTTCCTCTTTCCCTTCTTGTTCCCCTTCTTCCCCCTCTTCCTTATTTTTCCCATCTTCCCCTTCTTCATCCTCACCCTCTCCTTCCTCACTCTTATTCTGTTCCTCTTCCTCCTCCTTGTCTATACACTCATCTTTCTTATATTCGCTGTCCTCTTTTCTAGTCTTCTCCTCATTGTCATAATCTTTTTCCTCATTCACTAATTCTTTTTCCTCTTCACTCTCCCTGTCTGCGCCATCTCCTCTTTGGTGATTCTCATCATCCTCTTCCTCTCTCTCATTCTCATCTTCTGCTTCAAACAATGATTTGTCTTTTCCATCAATTTCTTCCTCTTCATCTCCATCTGCTGCTCCTAAAGCATCTTCATCTTCACCTTTTCTAACCTCATTTTCATCCTCCTCTTCTCTAGATTCTTCTTCACTGTTTTCAACTTTTTCAGAGTGCTTCTGTTTTTTACTCTCACCATCCTTTATTCTAATGTCACTTTCTCCACTCTCCTGCTCTTGACTAAATTCTTCTTCATTCTTACCTTCTTCCCATTTAGCCTCAGTATCTCTTCCTTCTGGATATAAATCATCCACATTTTCCACTGCTTCTATTGCTTTTTGTGTTCCTGTGTCTTCATAAGTAGCTTTGTGTAATTTTTGTCTCTGAAGTACATATTCTGTAAGATCATTTCTATTTTCATCACTAGAAGATGATGACACACCTATTGCTATTTCTTTCGTGAAATTCTTCTTTTTCTTAAATACTCTCTGTTCTTCATTACTTTCTTTCTCTCTGACATAGATGTTTCCAAACTTGTCAGATTTCTCAGTTTCATCCTTTGCTTTGCCTTCAAGATCCACCTCATTTTTACTTTGTTTTTTAACTGCTTTGGTTTTTTGTGTATCTAATGAACTAAATACTGGTTTATTACGGTCTGCAGAAGGAGGCACATCTTTTTTATGGGCTTGCTTAGACTTAGTATTCGCCTTTGATTTTTTAATCTTATCACTGGAAAAATAAGATATGTCTTGTGTAACAGACTTAGACTTTTCTGAATATTCTTTCTTCCTTTTTGCTAATATGCGTTCTTTAATAGTTTGCTGAACATCATGCTTCAGTTTCCCAACACTGTGTGCTTGTTCAAGTTTACCTTTTATCTTCTTTTTATCAACGTTAGTTTTTCCCACAAAGGCATGAAAACCACTTTCTAAATCTGAATAATTTCCAAGTGACTCTGAAAACAAAGGCTGCTTTTGCAAAGAACCATCAGTTGACTTTGAAACTTCCTGCATGAAATTAAGATCAGCCTGTTTCAACCCACCCTTACCATCATTTTTCAGATTCACATTTTTATTGCTCTTCTAGTCCACATGAGAAGCAGAAAATTAAAAAGAAAGAAGGAAAGCATTAAGAACAAATTAAAGGAGAGCAAACAGAAAAAAACTATAGAGACATATGAATAAAAAAGGAAATGATTTGTTAGATGGGACTACAAATGGGAATGAAACATGGACTATTCCAAATAAAACTCATTTATAAATATAAAGCAACTGCATTTGAAGAATAAGAATTTTTAAATAAAAAATAAGCTGAAAATGAAGTATCCTCAGTATTAAAAATCATCATTGCTTTAAGATTACTACAGTATGGTAGTAAAGGAATCATTTAATTTTATAATGATTAACATTACTTCTGTTCAGTAAAATAAGTTTTGCATTTACACCTGTGTTTTATGAACAAAAACTTGCCTTCTCTGGTGTCCTGAGTTTTAATTCAGGTGGTCTAATATCAACATAGGAGTATCAGATATTCTAGTATTAACAAAGAATTACAAAATGTACAGTTTAAATTACAGTGTACTGCACCATCAGTTGCAGAAGTATCAAACTATTTAATCTCAAACTGCACTGGGCAGACAGACCCCCACTGTCAGCATGTAGACATTTGCTCTCTCAGGAGAAACTCTCCTGAGAGTGATTTAACCTTGATTGTTCCCAGGTTATTTTTCTCTTGGAGCAGTCATTTTTTACTCTGGGAGAAAAACCCTGAACATCTTTACACTTGTGGTTTCTCCTTGGAGAGCAGTGACTCTCCCAGGAGAAACTGAATATCAGTATGAGGCCTGTGACTGCACAGAGTACCACTGACTTTAATGGGCTCTTTGCAAGGAGACGGTGCAAGGTTCTATCCAGCTGGGTAATTTGAAGGCTCTGAGGGAAGAAGTTAAAGGCAAGAATGAATCTATGAAAAACTGCTGAGTTTACTTTTTTAGCACTTGCAGCAAAAAAGGTATTGTCATCCTGGCTAGGGACAAACATTCAAAAAGCCCACGGTGGAATTGATCTAATTTATGCAGCTTTCTGTAAGTGGCATAGCTTAAATTGATAGTGAACAGAACACATATTTGTGCTTTGGTTGGGAAGTAAAATATTAGACTGGTAAAATCACTTATACTGGTAAAAGTGGAATGTCTGTACTTGGCCCCTATCAGATTGGTTAAAGACTTTCTAAAAAACAATGTTATGTTACAGGTACCTTTTGTTTTTGAACTGGTGATAATTTTAAGGACTGGTCACTTGGATTCAATTTCATCACATGAGTCTGAAAAGAATGAAGATATCACTTAAAATGGAATATAATTAATATGTGTGAAATCAATAATACTGATAGTTTAATTACACACTTTCATAAAGCCTTTCATCAGAGGATCTCAAACTGTCTTCCAAACAATTTGTCACAAAATTAAACTGTAATTATAATGGATTTGAAAACCTGTATTCCATTATTCAATGAAGTAGATTAAATCCTTCTGTACATCATCTCCTAGAAAAACCTACAGTTCAACATTTAAGAAATACAACCTACAAGGTCAGGCTGAAAGAACTAGAATTAGTCATGAGCAGGGATTTGTTAAATCTTAAAATACCTGAAAGGAGATTATACAGAGGATGGAGATAGACTGTTCTCTGTGGCTGCAAGGGACAGGGCAAGGAGTAATGGTCTTAAATTGCATCAAGGAAAATTTAGGTTGGGTCAGAGGAAGCACATTCTCACTCTGAGGGTGGTTAAACACTGGACCAGGTTATCCAGAGAGGTTGTAGAATCTCCATCCTTCCCAGGCCTCTTATCATTCTTACTGCTATCTACTAGACTCTTCCTAACTAGTCCACATCATTTGTGGCCCAAAATTAGATACAGTATGCCAGGTGAGACTTCACCAATGCTGAACAGAGAGGGAGATCACTCCCCTTGATTTGCAAGTGACACTCTTATTAATACAGCCCCATATATTCTTGACCTTTTATTTTTTTGCAACGAGTACACTTTTAACCCTAGGTCCTTTCTGCAGTACTGTAACTCATCCAAATCCTTCCTCAGTCTGTGCTAAATGCAGAACTGCACTTCTTATTGTTGAATTTCATCTGACTGATTTTGTTTCATTTATCCAGGTTGTTAAGGTGATTCTGAATTCTAGCCCTACCCTCAGCAACTCTACCCAATTTGTTGCTGTCTCCAAATCTGCTAAGTGTACAATCAATGTCCTCCTTTAAATCATTAATGAAGACATCAGACAATCCCACACCAAGGACTGACTAAGGGAACCCCACTCAATACCTCTCTTAACTAGACATTGTATTACTGATGACTGCTCACTGAACATAATGACCCAAACACTTGTGTATTCACCTTACAGAACATTAGTCTAGTCTGCACTTCCTTAGCTTACTAATGAAATTGTCAAATGCTTTGTTAAAGTCCAGTTATATCATGTTTCCTACTCTCCCCTTATCCACACAGCCTATCAGCTTATCATAGTAGGAAATCAAGATGGTTAGGCATGTCTTGCTTTTAATGAATCTATGCTGGTTGTTTCTGATCACCTTGTTTTCTTCCAGGTGCTTAGAAACAGACTCCTTGATGATCTTTTCCATAATCTTGTTTGGTATTCAGGTTAGACTGACTGGTCTGTCCTGACCTGTAGTCTATTAATTGAACTAGCAGTAGTTGGTTAAAATAAAGTTATAACTTAAGCTTGACTTAATATTAAAGGAACAAGTACTAGGTATCCATCTTGTATGAAATTACAAAAATTCTGTTCGAGGAAGAAAAGCAAACCAGCGTAGTCAATCAACACAAACAGGTCACTAGGCCACAAAAGGTTAAAGGTCTGTGCGAGTAGAACAAGAGCTCTTTAAACTTGGAAACCAGCCCACTTTATAGCATGCATTTCATAAAAAATATTACTGCTATCCTGTTATCTCCTAAAATAACAACTGTTAAGCCACAAGACAACTTCAGTAGCAGATATTTTACCATATTTAGTATATCAGTTGTGTTTCCAAGGCTTCTTTCATTGTCTGAATCTTCCTCTGTGGAACTCCTGTCAGATTTTTGGTTTTGTTGATTCTCATCTTAAATAAAACAAGACAATTAAAAAATAAGTAAACAGGTAGTATAAAAGCAATGGAATACAGTCAGACCCCGAGTTACGTGGGAGAAACGTTTCTGAAAAACACAGTGTAAGTTGAAACCGTGTAACTTGAGGCATTAAGTCAATGGAAAACAGGGGGATAGGGACCTGGGACCAAGACTTGATAACATTATTTCCTAATAAAAGGATATTTAAACACTTAATAATATAATTAATAGCCTTATTAAAACCTTTACTCCTGGCTACATGCTCATACACAGACAAAGCTTTAGCTCTAATTGCCACGCCGTCAACAACTGCTCCTTTTCTTTTGGTCATTTCATTGATCCAAAGATTAAGGAGTTTCTCAACCTTACCTAAATGAGGAATTCTAGTCACCAATGACACTCTCAAACTCACAGGGGTTGTTGTTTTCACACAGTCTCTAAATTTTTGCTCACTTTTTTTAACGGTAAGCACAGTCGATTCACTTAAACTGTACTGGCGAGCAATCGACACAGCACTATTGCCTTCTCTTAATTTATCAAGGATTTTTATTTTCTGGGCCAGGGTGATAGACTTACATGCTCTTTTGGGCACAACATCAAAGGCTTTCTTTGACACCATTTTCACAAATATTCAGGGGTTAACGTAACCAAAAATGATGGACAATCTTGGAGGAGACAAGTGATGCTAACGCTATGTAAGCAGACTCCAACTAACCACTGCTCTACCGCAAACAGTGTAAACGTGAAGCAGGGTATCGTGTTAAGTTGAAACATGGTCATGTTATATAAAGCGTGTATATGTGAATCAGTGTAACTCGACCGCATAACTGGAGGTCCAACTGTATAACAAATGAAAACCCCATCCCTTCTGACATAGAAGTATTATTAGTCCCATTTTAGAACTGCAGGATCTGAGATATCATATCTTGCAACCTCAAACAGCACTCTTGCAGTTCTTCCTTTGTATTATTTATGTTAAAACTAGGACAGAGTATGATGCCTAATCTCAATTCACTAGTGGTCTCAACCCATTTCTGCAAATTTTCAAAACAAGATCACTTGGGAAATGGTTCTTTTTAGATGATCTCTCTAATGATATTGTACTTTTCAATTTCCAAGGCAGTAAGAATAAGCTGTGGTTAAGCTATAGAATTAAAAGCTGGACAGCCCAGGTTCTCTTCCTACATCAGTCATGGACTTTCCTTCTTGGACAAGTCACTTAGGGCTAAATCTTTCAAGAGCTTAAGCAGTTAAAAGATTTCTCCTTCAAGTGCTTATGTAGCATTTAGGTAGCCGTGTAGCAGCAATTTTCTGGAATTTATCCACAGTTTGGATTCTATTTCTACTAATAGTGCAACAGGATTGTGCTGTACCCGTGTAGGCCAGAAATATAACAGAAGAGGAGGAAGACCCTTCCCACCTTTTAGCCCAACAGACAAGCAGTGAAAGATCCATGTCCAGCCCCACCTCACTTAGAGAGGGGGTTCCCAGCAAATCACTCTAACCAGCAGGCCATACGCTAGGCATTACCCAGAGTCCTTGCCAGCCCTCCTCCTGAAGCTGTTCAGAAAGGGAAAAGAAGGGGTTTAGCTTCTAATCTGGATGCCTGACCCCAACAGTACAGAAACTATCCCTCTGTTTACAGAGGTGTAGGTTGTAGCCATGTTGGTCTAAGCACATAGGCAGACAAGGTTCTGTGGGTGAATCTGATATCTTTTATTACCAGAATGGCATCCAAGCCTGCCTTACATATCTACAAGAGCAAGATTACGACTCAGAGTACAGACCCAAAGATATTAGTCACTTTATACACTTCATCCTCTCACACAGCAATTTCACTTCTAATAACCAACACTTCCTACAGAGCATGGGCACAGCCATGGGCACCAAAATGGCCCCACAGTATGCCAACCTTTTTATGAGCCACCTGGAAGAAGAATTCCTCAAGGACTGCACCATCAAACCCTTGCTATACTTAAGATATATTGATGACATCGTCATCATTTGGACTGAAAACCTGTAATCTCTGATTGAGTTCCATCAGAAATTCAAGTCACCATCTCTCCATCCAACTATCTCTTGAATA